GATTGAGAAGGTGGCTAATGCAACCACCTCAAAAGAAGCTTGGGAGAGTTTACAAAATTCTCTTCAAAGAGTTGATAAAATAAAAAAGATAAAACTTCAAACTCTAAGGACTAACTTAAAAGTTCTATAAATGAAAGAATCCGAATTCATTTAGGATTTTTGTTCAAGATTGATGGCTGTTGTGAATCAACTAAGAAGAAACAGGGAGGAAGTAGATGATGTGTGTGTGGTAGAAAAGATCCTTCGTTTTCTAACATTTAAATTTGATTATGTGTTGTGGGCTATTTATGAGTTTAAAGATTTAGACCATATGGCGGTAAAGCAATTGCAAGGTTCTTTACGAGCCTACAAAAAAAAAGATGAAAAATAAAAAAAGAAGAGTCACTAGAGCAACTTCTTAAAACTCATACATCCTTTAAAGAATTTGAAGGTGAAAAATTTACAAAGGAAATGGATAATGACGAGGTCGTGGAGGTCGTGAAAGAGGAATAAGTTATATCAACAAATTCAATAATGAAGATAAAAATCACCACTCACACAAAGGTCGTGGCCATGGTCAACGAGGAGGTAAAGGACGTGGAGCCTATCAAGGTACCAATGAAATGAGGTATGAAAATTCTAAAATTGAGTGTTATAACTGTCATAAAATTGGACATTACTCTTGGGAATGTCATAGTAATGTTGAAGAGAAATCTAATCTTGTTGACAACAACAAAGACGAAGATGAGTCAACATTGTTATTGAAACTCAAAGAAGAAGATAAAGATGATTGCAGTTCATGGTATATTGACAATGGAGAAAGCAATCATATGTGTGGACACAAAGAAAAGTTTGTGAAGATAAATAAGTCGGTGACAGGTAGTGTGTCTTTTGGAGATACCTCAAAGATCCAAATTGAAGGAATATGTATGATTCTGATATCCTATAAAGATGGTGGTCATATATTGATTAACAATGTTTAATATGTGTCAAAATTGAAAAGTAATATTTTTTGAGTTTGGATCAACTTTTTAAAAAAGGATATGATATTCATATGGAAAATATGCATCTTTGTCTTAGAGATTCAAGTAATAACTTAATTGCTTAAGTGCATATGGCAAAGAATAGGTTGTTCCCTTTGAATCTTAAGACCATTGATGCAAGGTGTTGAAGGCTAATGTCCAAGATGACTCATGGTGTTGGCATATGTAATTTGGACACTTGAACTTTGAAGAACTCAAATCAATGGGAGACAAGAGCATGGTTGATGAAATCCAATCAATCAACCACCCCGTCTTCTTTATATCCGCAAATTTTTCTTTGTGTCCACACATATGATTGTTTGCTCCATTGTCAAGATACCATGAACTGTAATCATCTGTATCTTCTTCATTGAGTGTCAATAATAATGTTGACTCATCTTCGTCATTGTTGTTATCAATAATATTAACTTTCTCTTCAATATTAATATGACATTTCCAAGAGTAATGTCCAATTTTATGACAGTTACAACACTCAATTTTAGATTTTTCATACCTCATTTCATTGGTACCTTGATAGGCTCCATATCTACCTCCTTGTTGACCATGACCACGACCTTTGAATGACTAGTGATTTTTATCTTCATTGTCAAATTTGTTGAAATAACTTCTTCCTCTTCCTCTTCCTCTTCCACGACCTCCACGACAACCATGGCCTTGCCATTGTCCATTTCCTTTGTAACTCTTCTCACTTTAAATCCTTTGAAGGACACCTAATTTTTAAGAAGTTTCTCTAGTGTCACTTCTTTTCTCTTTTTCATCTTTTCTTCGTGAGCTTGTAGAGAACCTTCCAATTATTATACTGTCGTAGAGTCTAAATCATTATACTCCTCAATAACTCACACCACATAATAAAATTTAGGTGTTAGAGAATGAAGGATATTTTCTACCACATGCACATCATCTATTTCCTCCTCGTATCTTCTTAGTTGATTCACAACAGCCATCAGTCTTGAACAAAAATTCGAAATAGATTTAGATTCTTTCATTTTTAAAATTCCAAAGTTAGCCCTGAGAGTTTGAAATTTTATCTTCTTTACTTTATCAACTCCTTGGAGAGAATTTTATAAAATCTCTCAAGCTTCTTTTGAGGTGGTTGCATCAGTCACCTTTTCAAATGTGTCATCATCCAAACATTAATGGATGAGAGTGAGGGTCTGCTGATTTTTCTTTCTTTTCTTTTACAAGACCTCATTTTCATTTGAGGACAAAGTTTTTTCATTAACGGATTTTGTATACCCTTTGTCTATAATGTCTCAAACATCTTGAGAGTCAAGAATGTCTCTCATTTATAGACACTATTTTTCATAATTTTCTCTTGCGAGACAGGTGTACTGAAAGGACAACAAACTATGATTTGCCATGGATCTGATACCACATTGTTGGATAAAATGATAATCACATCCATGATAATGTCCACACTAAATAGCAATAGCAAGAGAGTAAAAACGACACCAAATATTAAAATGGGGTAAATATTGTAACATCCGGCAATGTGAAATAAGTGAAGAGGCTTAGATTTGGAAATTTTCATTTTTTGGAAAGAATTTGAAATCTGGAAAAAAATTGGCTAAGTGTGGAAATCAGTGATTTTTGGCCAACTTTGAGCAGTCGTAACTCCTAGCTCAGGATGAGTTAGGAGTAGTTCCAGTTATGGTTACAAAGTTCGTGGAATGATCTTTCTAAAGCCACCGAGTTTGCTCAATTCCGAGTTCGTATGAGCGAGTTATGGCCC